CATATATATTTACCAGGGTTATATTCTCTTGTTGGATTGATCTGTTTACTATTATGTAGTGACCTGTGTTGTCTCTTGTGATGGCCTTCATTTTGAAGTCTATTTTGTCAGACATGAGTATTGCCACCCCAGCTTTTTTTTTTTTTCCATTTGCATGGAAAAATTTTTTCTATCCCTTCACTCTCATCCTGTGTGAGACTTTTGTTCTGAGGTGGGTCTCTTGTAGACAGCATATAACTGGGTCATGTTTTTATAGCCAAGCAGCTACCCTATGTCTTTTGATTGGAGCATTTAATCCATTTACCTTTAAGGATATTATTAACTAGAGGCCCAATGCACGAAATTTGTGCAAGAGTAGGCCTTCCTTCCCCCGGCTGCCGGCACTGGCTTCCCTCTGGCACCCGGGACCCGGGCTTCCCTCTGGCCGCCGGCAGGCACCTGGGGCCAGGGCTTCCCTTGCAGCCGCGGCTTCGTCTGGTCTAATTAGTATATTATGCTTTTATTATTATAGATTATTATAGATAGGTACTTATTTGTTGCCATTTTAATTCTATATGCCTGTTTCTCTTTCTTCTCATTACAGTAGTTCTGTTAGCATTTCTTTTTTTCTTTTTTTAAAAGCAAAGTTCGTGGTTTTTTTTAAAATATATTTTTATTGACTTCAGAGAGGAAGGGAGAGCGGGAGAGAGAGAAACATCAATGATGAGAGAGAATCATGGATTGGCTGCCTCCTGCACGCCCCCTACTGGGGATTAAGCCTGCAACCCGGGCATGTGTCCTGACTGGGAATTGAACTCTGATCTCCTAGTTCATAGTTCAATGCTCAACCACTGAGCCACACTGGCTGGGCCCTTTAGCATTTCTTGCAATGCTAGTTTGGTGGTGATAAACTGCTCTAGCCTTTTTTTTTCTGGGACAGTGGTCGGCAAACTGCGGCTCGGCAAACCACGGCTCGCAAGCCACATGCGGCTCTTTGGCCCCTTGAGTGTGGCTCTTCCACAAAATACCAGTGTCTCACTCCTTTAACATGCAGTGCCCTGGGCCTGAACAGTGCCCAGATCTGCCAGTCTGCTCTGTGTCCTCAGGATGATAGATGTTGAATAAATGAATGCATGAGAAGCCTCTCCTTTGGTTTTCCCAAATGAAGAGGATTTTTATTTCTAAGCTTTTTTTTTAAATTAAATCTTTATTGTTCAGATTATTACAGTTGTTCCTCTTCCCCCCCCCCCCCCCATAGCTCCCCCCCCCCCGGGTCCCCCCCCCCCCCCCCCCCCCCCCCCCCCCCC